CCATACTTCTCTCGGACAAACAATTTTGGTCTGCTAATTTATCGTTAATCCACACAACACTTATTAATAACTCTTATCCTTCTAATCTCATAAACTCTGTCACGTACAATAGACTCAAATTTCTCAATAATAACAATAATACCTCTTCTTCTTCCACCAAAATCTCCAAAGACAATAACTTTATTGGTAATGTTTGTCTCCCGTTTATTAAAGAACTCTTTCCCATTTGGAAAAAACTGTTCCACAAGGTCGACTTAAGATTAATTTGTAACATAGACTTAACCCTTAGCTCCCTTTTTTCCAACCTCAAATCACCCACTAGTTTGGAACGCACATCAAATATTGTTTATAAATTAAAATGCAATGATTGTGATTCCATTTACATAGGTGAAACTGGACAAAATTTAATAAAACGACTAAAACAACATGATAATAACTCTAAAAACCCACGACAAAATCAAACTATGATAACAGAACATATAAAAAATTTTAAACATTCTTTTGACTTTTATAACGCTAGTATACTTTATCACGAACGGAACATTATTCAGAGAAGATTTGCTGAATCTTGTCTGATCAGCACCTCGAAATTTTGTATTAATAAACGCCATGATGCCTCCTTACTCTGTGAAAATTATCAGGTGATACTTAATAATATTTCCAAATTTGTTTCCTCTTAACCTACGTAATTCCGAACCTGTAAACCTACCCTTACGCGGTCCGATCCCGAACTTTGATTCTTAGCCTCTCACCCATACTTAGAAACACTGATTGTAAAAAACCCGCCAACTATTCCCTCAAACGGTCTCTTCAAATAATTTTTAAACACATGTTACTACAGCCTCGGGCTCTGTCACATAAACTACGTTCTCTGTGCAAAATATATTATATATTCACAAATATTTTGCCATACTCTGTCAAACAAATTAATATATAAAAAAAACAAGTTAATGTATATATGATAGTGCAAAATTGTTGTTCCTAGCGCTAGCTACTGATGTAAGACCATATTTATGTAAGTTACCTTCATTGTCTATATATGTGTATGTGTCTGTATTGCATATGTATGTATGTGTATGTATATGTATATATATATATGTATGTGTATATGTATATATATATATATATATATATGTGTGTATGTATGTATATATGTATATGTGTATGTGTATGTATGTATATATGTGTATATATACATATGTACATGTCCGTATGTATATGTTATATATACGTATTGTTCGTATGTATATATGCATATGTGTACGTGTTTTTACATGCATATCATATATACATGTTTGTTTGTGTGTATATTTATGTATATATATTACGCTTTTGTATGTTTATATATATTTCTTTTTACTTTTCATTTCTCTTGTTTATCTATCTGTTAAGTATAATTGTTATTGCTATAATTATATTACTTATATCTATAGTTCTTTTTCCAATTTCTGTCATTTTTTCCTAGATTATATTAATTTTCAATATTCATTCTGTAGATCCACTGATGATGACATAAAATACTATGTCGAAACGTTTGGAAAAATTAAAGATTAACTTCTAAATCTTTGCCTTTTATTTGATGTATGCCCTTGAAGAACTTACTCATATATATATATATATATATATATATATATATATATATACGAGGTCTGTTCAAAAAGTACCCGGAATTTTCGTTTTTTCAAAAAAATATTTATTTATTCGTCTACATTAATGTGGTCCCCTTCAAAGTAGTCCCCCCCAGATATAATACACTTATGCCAGCGTTTTTTCCAATTTTCGAAGCACCCTTGATATTCACTTTTTGATATGTCCTTGAGCACTCTCAGCGATTCGGCCTTTATTTCTTCAATCGAGGAAAACCGCCGTCCTTTCATGGGTCTCTTCAACTTTGGGAATAGGAAAAAGTCACACGGAGCCATATCTGGTGAATTTTTGCACTTTGCAACACTTTATTTCATTTTTTACGCAAAATTTAATACAAATTCTTTGACTTTTCAATTCTTCCATTGTAAAAATCGCCGAGCTCAGAAAAACACGTCGAACCTTAGCGACTACCACAGACAAAGTAAACAGTGAATATAGCTGAAAATTTCATCATACTTTAGGGGCATGTATACCAACACAATAAAAAAAAAATTTTGACAATCAGACACTCCAGACCCGCGAAATTTAATTATTAGTAATTCCGGGTACTTTGTAACACACCTCGTATATATATATATTTATGAGTTTGTAAGTGTGTATTTTGTAGCGTAATGCGTTCCATTGATAAAAAAGTCGCCCACTCGAAATATAATATTGTAATCTCATTTTTTTCATCCTTGAACTTTAAAGTGTTATTGTGTTAAATTAATTAGAACAAGCAGACGAACGCACAAGTGGGCAAATCTTACAAATATTTATAGTTTTATATTTTGCTCAATTTTTTGTTATTTAGTAAAAATTTCCGAAGCTTTAATTATTTTTAGAATTTTTATTCTAAATTCTAAGTTTCTATTTACAGTATATTCATTTTTTATTTATTAATTTCATTGGTTCGAATCAAGGATAGATTTAGGTGAAAATTTGTGCTAATACTGCAACTTCACACTAGTTTGACGTTAAACAGAACAAATGTGTGTTAACACTATTTTAGTGTTAACACACTAATAGTAGAAAAATCGAAGCGCCTAAGCGCCTCGTTGTAGTTTAAAATCATAAGTATCTTCAAAATAGCTGGACCTGCCTTTAACAAAAACTAATTAGCAAGTCTCCCCATCAATACAAATCGAATGTTTTTTGAATAATTCCAATCGGTTGATCTCTGTTACCGTTGATTTGTTTTTTAATCAGAAGAGCGAACCTGTAGTAAGAACGTCATTATTGAATAATTTGTAATTTTTTTTTTATTTTATCTTATAGTTGGGATCTATATAATTTTTTTGCTTTTTTGTATAAAATTCTACTCAATTTTCTTTAATTATTGTTTTAAAAAATAGCACTTGTTCGTTTATTACCATATTTTTTGTTGATTTACTTATTAATTTTTAAAAAACCGGAACAATCCGGGACAAAAATTATTTTTAGGAAAACCCCGGACACATGGTGAAAATCCGGGATGGTCACCTTAAAGTGATACCAAAATGTTCAGAAATCATTGAAACGTACAGAAGATACCGACATAAAAATATTTTAACTTGCCATAGGGTAAGTTATTGTAATGGGCCGAAAATCGGAATTGAAAATTTTTACATTTCTCGACGTTTTGAAGGTTTCTGAACGTTTTGGCATACCTCAAAAAAAATGGATGTGTGTGTGTGTGTATGTATGTATGGATACAAATTTTAACCCACGTTTTCGGGCGTACGGATCAACCGATTTGAATGGTTTAAAAAACATTCGATTCCTATTGATAAGGAGATGTGCTGATTAGTTTTTGGCAAAGGCAGGTCCAGCAGTTACGGAGATAAGGAGCAAAGAGTGCAGAAAATAGAAATCGAGTTTTTGAGAGAACGGAGCATCCGATTTGAATGATCTACAGAACATTCAATTAGTAAGGATTGGGAAAAGGGGTTATTAGTTTTTTGCAAAGGCACGCACAGCCATTTCGGAGATACAGAGCTAAATGTACAAAAAATGGCAGTTTTTGAGAGAACTAAGCGTCCGATTCAATTGATTCAAAAAACTTTCTGCTTGTCTTAACAAAATAATTGATTTTGGAAAAAAAAAATTTTGTTTCATTTTTTTTTTTTTTTTTTAATTTTTTGTATATCGAA